GGCAGAGCAGAGGGGCAGGAGAACCTCCCCAGCCCTGCTGGACACACTGTTCTTGGTGCCCCCCAGGACCCCACTGGCCTCTTGGCCACAAGGGCACGGGGCTGGCCCAGGGACACTCCCTGCCCACTGGGGCTCCCAGGGCTTTCTCCCCGGGGCTGCTTTCCAGCAGGGTGACCCCTACTCTGTGCTGGTGCTGGGATCATTCCTCCCCAGATGCAGGACTCTGCACTTGGTTAGGTTGCTCTTGGTAGGTTGCTCTTTGCCCAGCTCTGCAGTCTGTTCAAATCTTGCTGAACAGCTGCACAACCTTCAGGTGTCTCGGCCAAACCTCCCAGTTTCGTATCATCAGCAAACTTGCTGAGAAGACACTCCGTCCCGTCATCGAGGTCGCTGAAAAAGGTGAACAGAACTGGACCCACCCGCAGGCCCCCTGATGTCACTGGGGATTTACGGAACAAAGGATGGATTTTCTGTGAAGCCATATGACAGAGCTAAGAACAGCATGTCAGCTGCTTCTCCCCAAATCTGTGATATTGTTTAGGTTGAAAGGAGATGAGATTTTGGATGGGAAGAGACTGGAAACGAGTGGTGCTGAGGAGTCAGGAGAGCCTGGTGCTCTGTCCCACCTGGCAGCTCTTTGTGTTTTGCCTCAGCCTGTCCGGGAAGAATCCGTTCTGAACACCCACCTGTTTTCTGTCGTGATGAACTTGAGAGGTGTTTTACGTCGATGCACAGTATTTACATCATGAAAGTGTGTAGAGATTGTCCTGATGCAGGAGCTGCCACTGGGCAGCCTCTGCTTCTGAGGAAGATCCACAGAAAAGTTATCAGCTCCTCCAAGTCTCTGAGAGAACTGCAGTTAATTGGTAAAACAGATGGGATCTTTTCTTTCTTTCTGGAGGAGGAATTGGAGAAAGATGCATGACGCTCTGGAATTGCTCAGTTCCAGCTTAGGGAGTTCCCTGAGGACCTTGGCTAGCTGGAAGGAGGGATTGGGTGGAGAGGAGCTGTCTAATTTATGTTAAATATGTCTAATCACGTTAAAAAAATGTCTTTTTGTGGAACAGCAGCCTCCAGGCAGATTTGAACAAAGAAGCATCTGTAGTTACTGTAACTCATACTGGGAAAAGCAGAGGCAGATGCGTAGTAGTGAGCGATGTGTCAGGTTTTGTGCTTCGGCCTCCTTCGTGTATTGGAGGTGGGATTCAGCCACACAAATAATTCCTGTGGCCGGTCTCAGGGGTTAGCAGGGATGGGTAGGAGGTAATCAGGGGGTTTTCTGTAAAAATCCTGAAGATTAACTAGCTCAAATCCTTAAGCTTCAGGCAGGGTAACTGTTCACTGGGTGTCAGCTGCGTGTAACGTGTAACCAGACAGATGCTGAAGCAAGCTGGGATGGTGGGATACATTTAAGTACGGAAGAGAAAGATTCTAACAGGTTTTTTTTGTGGTAGTGGAAGTAGGGATTCTTGCTGTGCAGGAGAAGGAATGCTGATAGAGCAGGATCTCTGTCCTTTCAACTCCGTGAGCTGACAGTTACCGAAAAGAAACTGTTTCAAATCAAGCAATTTTTTGTGTTGTAGGTTAAATGATATGTGGACAATTGGCCTGCAGGATAGAGAGCTAACGTGCTGGGAAGAGGTAAGAAGCTTTAATTTCAACCAACACGTAGAATTTTCTTTTTTATTTTTCACACAGAATTATTTAAAATTCCCTCTGGTGAACTGCACTGTCCCCTTCTTCGGAGTATCTTTGTCCCGCAGGCCAAAGGGAGCAGCTCACATTTCATTTCATTTGTATATTTGTCAAGTGTACATGAAAGTGCGATATCTTCTCCTTGTGAATCTGCCAGCTGGGCTGCCTGGGGTGGCCTCGCTGTGCTCCCTCGTGCGAAGGGACCGTGTTTCCTGCTTTAACCGTGGCCGGAGCCTGGGAGCTTTGCGAGCGGTCGAGATCAGAATCCTGGTCCTGACAGTATCGGGGGCTTTAGAAATCGGCCTCCCCTCCTTTTTATCCAGGGGAAAATCAGGCTGTGCAGACGCATAAGCACGGCATTAGTTGATTACCTGGAGCCAGATTTGTAGGGACTTGGTTGTCTGCACGCGCTGCTGCCATGTGGTCAGTCGGTCTGTCTGTCTGTCTGTCTGTCTGCCCCTGTATTGCCCGGACCCGCAGCATCCTCAGCCCACTGCGGTAACATATTTTTAATTTCGAACCTCGTTATCTTCCAGATCGAACAAAGCGGTGAAATTCCTCCCTCGTGCTGTAATTTTCCCGTCGCTGTTTGCAAAGACAAGATGTTTGTTTTCTCTGGCCAGAGTGGAGCAAAGATTACCAATAATCTCTTCCAGTTTGAATTCAAGGAGAAGATGTAAGTGTAGACAGTTAAGTCACGCAAAATCCGCATAATCCTTGACTACTTGAGTTAAGTAATGCACATATTTAAGGGTGTTGAGGAGGAATACGGTGACAAGGAAGGGGAGATAAGATAAAACATGAGACCGTCGTTTGCCACGTGCATCAGATTGGTCTTTCTCAGCAGACAAACAGAAAGTTTAGTAGATGCACTTCAAAAAGCGTGAGTCTTAGTGTATTGAGAATGGGAAGCCAAATATTACCTTCCTTAAAAGTTGGGGTCTGAATAGCTGATTAAAACCAGGCAGAGGTCCTGTGAAACGCCAGCTCCCGGTGAAATCACTGGGAAATGTCAAATGCGTGGTACTTTTTAAAATCTTGAGTATTCAGTCTGAGATATTTGGTGCGACTTGCTCAGAGTGTTGACCGTTGCTCTGAAAATGTGGCCCCTCCGATGAGATAAAAATGCCCCAAAATGGGAATACAGCTGCACTGGTCTGTTCTGACAGCCTGGTCGGTCTGGTTACTGGCTGAACTGGAACCACAGCTGAAACAACACCCAGCGGCCTCCAGAGCTTGGCTGAAACGGGGCTGTCATAGCAAATAAGCGACGCCTTATCGAAGTGGGAGATGGTGTCAGGGTCGTGCCCTTTGCTTAGAAGGGTTAGCTGTTCAAATGTGGGATCAGAGATCACAGATTCCCTCCCGAGCTGGGATCTCTAGGGGTTTACATAAATACAGCTGGGTTATGGAGCCACATTGCCTTGATCACGCTTTCAGCCAAAAGTCGAGCAACGTGTAGTCGAGAAATCTGCCGGATTAGTCGCCGTCTGTGCTCTTGCAGGTTCAGTAAGTGCTGTAGCAGAGCTCCTCTTTATTCTTGTGATCTGGGTCACAGACCAGCACTGTGAAGAAACAAACAGTTTTGTGTTTACTGTCTCAGCTGGACACGGATTCCCACAGAGCACTTACTGCGAGGCTCCCCGCCTCCTCCGCAGCGAAGGTATGGCCACACCATGGTTGCCTTCGACCGGCACCTCTACGTGTTCGGCGGCGCCGCGGATAACACGCTGCCCAATGAGCTGCACTGCTACGACGTGGACTCTCAGACCTGGGAGGTTATCCAGCCCAGCCCGGACAGCGAGGTAAAACCTTCGGTGCTTGGATTTTCCTTTTAGGCTCCGTCTTTTTTTTGACCTGTTTTTGCTGTCAGGCTGTGGACGTACCTCTGCTGCGAGGACAGGCTGAGGGAGCTGGGGTTGTGCAGCTGGGGAAGAGAAGACTCTGGGGGCACCTTATCCCTGCTGCAGTGCCTGAAGGGACCTACAGGGAGCCTGGGGAGGGACTTTGGACAAGAGTGTCCAGCGACAGGACAAGGGAAATGGGTTTGAATTGAAGGAGAACGGGTTTAGATTGGATCTGAGGCAGAAATTGTTCAGTGCGAGGGGGCAAGACTCTGGACTAGATTGCCCAGAGAGGCTGTGGCTGCCCCCCCCCCGGGGGTGGGCAAAGGCCGGGTGGGGGAGCATGCCTGGAGCAACCTGGGCTGGTTGAGAGGCGTCCCTGCCCATGGCAGGGGTGGGGTGAGATGAGCTCTGAGGTCCCTTCCAGCCTCGGCCGTTCGATGGTTCTGTGACACATTTTTGACGAGGACATGAGCTTTTGCTGCAGTAGTTACAGCTCCTTCCCAGGAATGGTTAAGCAGCTGAAATATTGTGGGCAACGGTCTGTAACAGTTGGTCGGTGTTGACACATTTAAAACTTTGCTTAATACTGTTTAAAGAAATACCATAAAACACTTGTAATTCAAGTTTAGGCGTCTCTTGTTACGGGACAGAGATGAGGAGCGAATTCACAGTGTGGACCGGCGATGCTTGGCTCCGTGACACTCTTGAAGCAGAATTCCAAACTAGACAAGATTTTGATTTTAATAATGCCCATGTGCGTAAAGTCTTATAAATTCTGTAATTACCCAGAATAGCATCTCCCTTTTAGGCCAAGTGTAAAGTGTTTACTTATAAGGGTATGGCTGTAAAATAATGAAGGTCAAAGGGAGGCTCAGAAATGGCACGTTTTGGAACGTATTTGCATTGAGAAGATACATAAATTTAAAAATGTGGATTCTTTATAGGAACTGAAAAGGCAGTAGACCACCGAGGGCTGCGTAAACACCCAAAATGAGAAAATACATATATTTAAAAAAAACATAATGAACATGTTAGAATGATTCTTTGGGGCTACTCATTACAACTCGGGGATTGTGTGACAAAATGTCAATTTTTTTTCGTAGCGCCCTCATAGATGCCATCTCCGGGATAACCTGGGATTTCAAGTCAAAGCACCAGGGGTTTTCACCATTTCTGGTTTCCGTGCACCTTTGACTTCATGTTTCTGTGGTTTGATTGGCCTCTGCTCGTTTCAGTCCCAGAATGGCCAAAAAAGTTAGTTTCTCAAAGCCTGTGCTAATACGCATATTTCCTGGATTTCGAATGGATCCGTTGGCCGTAGTTGTTCATGTTCTGAGATTTTACCCTAAGCCATGTTAAGATACTTCAGCTGATTTAACAGGAGGTTTAGAGCGTGTCGGCTCATCCGCGGGGGAGAAACGCTTGACGTTCGTGTGCTGTGCAGAGAACTGCGGGGATTAGGGTTGTACCTCAGAGATGGATATTGCAGGAGTTGGGATCAGACGCAGACGGACTGGGTGTGCGTTAGCTGGTCTGCGAGGACACGTACCTCAGCCTTGCTGCAGCAGGAACGTACCACGGGCGCTGCTCGTGAGTTGACGGCGCACGCGGGCCCCACTTTGAAATGTTATTTGACCCAAGTATTTCACGGCGGCCTGGTTTGTGCCTTAGGAAGCTGTTTGAATTTCACGTGAAATTAGTAAAGCTGAACCTCCAGCTTTGTAAAGGTAGAGTTGCCTTCAGGAGTGTAGCTGCTGCTGTTCTCTTTCTGCCGGCGTCACCGTTTGACACTTCAGGTTTCCTCCGTTACTGGCTGCGAATCGCTTTCAGGAGCGAAACTGCTCCTGGCCGCGCTGCGAAACAGCCGTGTTACCTGATCTGGCCCCTGCTGAATTTCGGTCTGTGTTTCGGAGCCCTTTCCCTGGGCTGCCTGCGATGCCGGGCAGGTGTCTGTCCATCTTGGTGGCATGTGTTGAGTTTCCAAGTGTCGTTCACGGTTATGGCATCTAGAGGCTGATTTCCTAAAGTGAGGCTGAAGCACCGTTGAAACGTGTGTTAGTCAATTTTCCTAAAAGGCAGATTAACTGCAAGATCTGAGACACTTTTGACGTGATTTTGTAAATGATTTTGTGTACCCTGGAGTGATAACTAGGTAATGTCTTAGAATTGTTTCCCTGAAATTTCTAGGAGCTTTTGGCAAAGACTTTTAACAGTGGATTGAATCTCTAATACTGAACTATTTCCAGGATGCTCTGAGCTTGAAAATTCCTTTCTTATCCATGTCTGTGGACAAAATTAGTCACAGTAAGTTGACACAAAGTAGAGGACGATGAGTGCGGTGCTGTCTTAGCTCTTGAAGGATTCTGCTTGTGTGTGAAGCGGTGCTGACCCCTATTCCCGTGCAGCAGAATAATCTTTCTTGGCTGTTGATGGAGTTGTGTTTTGCTTGGGTTTTTTTGAAAGGATGCACTATATAGCATGTGTTCTTCCTCTGTTGTTCTGTTTTATGTTACGTGATCTTAGAAATGCCACGTTACAACTTTGCTTGACAGCGCTGTAGCTCGGTTAATTTTAATTCTTATCTTGGGATGCCTTCCCTTAATTCTTTCTTCTGAACATTTAGCACTGAGCAGGTAAAGGCTCCAGAGTCCAAAATCAGAAGGGTTGGTGCCAGTCTAGCTGTTAACTCAGCAGTGATTTTTAGGTTCCTTTGCAAAAGAGATTTCTTACACTCATGCATAATTGTGGAATGCGTTGGGTGGGAAGGGACCTTTAGAGGTCGCTGAGTCCAGCCTCCCCCAGCGAGCAGGGACAGCTTTAACTGGACGGAAGAAGAGCGACTGCTGCCATTCCAGCCTTCCTCGTTCTCTGAAGTGGGGCTAAGCCAGCCCTGAGAAGCTCCTCGGGGCGGTGCAGGTGGCGATTGGGACTTTTCAGACCTCTGTGTGCCCCTGGCAGAAGCAGGTGGAGATGGGATTTGCACGTGCTACCCTCTTACGGGCAACGTGGGAGGCGGCAAGTCATGCGAGACCGAATGATCCCGAGGTTCTTACCTGGAGAAGGTGGCACAATCTGAGCATTGAGTGAGTCGCAGGAAGGTCATAGAAGCAGCTCTCGAGGGCAGGCAGGGAGCGAGCGTCCGGCGCTGTGGCTGCACTGAGACGGCCTCACACTCTCTGCGCTTTGGGGGAGCAGGGAGAGCAAAAACGGGAAACGAGCCTGGCCTTGGAGCTGTGTCGGTTCTCTGCCAAGGTCCCTCAGAAGGGTGGGCGGTGTCTCGCCGCGGAGCAGGGGATGGGAAAACGGCTTGGTAAGAAGGAGAGGGGAAACTGCAGTGGGACGGTCGGTGTGTCAAAAATAAACCTCTTTGATGCTTTTAGGATGTCCCCAAAATGAATATCAAGATGGGCTTTCCGACCTGCACAATCCATAGCTCCTCGTATTTTCCTCTTGATGCTGTAATACATGTACATACATATTTTACAGAGTGCGCAGAGCTCAGCGTTGCTGTTAGATGATCTTCACAGCTGGGGGTTCCACGTTTCTGAGGCAGCCAGAGGAATGTCACATCTGCGGCCGTGCCCGCCCGTGGAACGCTGCCAGAGCTTCCCGAGCTGCTGGGTTTCCTTTATATGGGGCTGTCAGAGGATTTTTAAAAACTAATTTAAATAGATTTTTTTTTTTATTGGCCACATTTTCTTACTGAACTCAGAATATCCTTGGCTTTCTGGAGAGGGTTGGAACAGCATAAAAAATCAGCAGGCGAGGTTGGTGCTCGGGGTGGTTAAACCATTCAAGGATCCCTCCAGCAGCGAAGCACCGTCAGCTCCCCAGCGACTGCAGGCAGGAGCAAGGATCCCATTTTTCCCGAAGTTACAAGAGAATTCTCTAAACCTTGGCCACTGAAACATTTTAGTCTCATAGTTAGGCCTTTCAAAGCCAAGAGCAATCGGTTTTCTGACTTTGGAAGCTCTTACTTTTTCTTTTAATAAGCAAAAGGGAGGTTAATGTGTCAGTAACCTTCTCTGGCTTACTTTGAGGCATTTCTGGAGTTTTTCAGCTGGATTACGGTGACGTGGTTTGTGGGCAGCGAAGAAAGATTAAAGGGACTTACTCATCCTGCTGTGGATGAGTCTGCCACCGCCTCCCTGCGCGGAGATCAGTTACGCCTGCTGAGGTATCTTCAGGCAAAAGAAGCGTGTTATTATGTGAACAAAGCCCTGAATTCCTTCAGCGAGGCCCCTAACAAGATCTGCCTTCAGATGTGGTGAGTGCAGTTGTCAAGATATCGTGTTGTGCTGGGAGAGAGAAAATTTAGTCTTTCACAGCCCAAAGGGAAGACTGATACTCTTCATGTTTACAAGTAATATGCCATCTTCAGACTTGCATTCTTCTCAGAAAATTTTTTTTTTTAAAATTTAGGATCTTTGTAGCAATGCCCTTTTTGAGTCTGTGCTCAGTAAGCTGGAGGAACATCTTGAAAATGTTGGTATGTATAAAAACCTGGGTATCAGAATAACTGTAGTTAATATTGTTGCCCAGCTTGGTTTCTGTTTGTCAAGTCTGCATTCATACAGAATGAGAGAACAGTTTGAATTGGAAGGACCTTAAAGATCATCTGGTTCCAACCCCCGGCCCTGGGCAGGGACCCCTCTCTCCCACCAGCCCAGGTTGCTCCAAGCCCCGTCCAACCCGGCCTCGGGCACTGCCAGGGATGAGGCACCCACAGCTTCTCTGGGCAACATTTTCCAGTGTCTCTCCACCCTCACAGTGAAGAATTTCTTCCTGATCTAATCTGAATCTACTCTCTCTCAGTTTGAGACCATTACCCCTCGTCCCATCACCTTCAGTAACCTTTAAGCCCTGGGAGGCTGCTCTAAGGTCCCCCGGAGCCTTCTCTCCAGCTGACCAGCCCCAGCTCCCCCAGCCTGTCCTCGTGGCAGAGCTGCTCTGGCCCC